AAATAAATAAATAAATAAATAAACCTCTTTAATTGAGGCTCTTAAAAAACTGTGCTTAGCCAGGCATGGTGGCATATGCCTGTAATCCCAGCACTCATGAGGCTGAGGCAGGAGGATCATTGCGAGTTCAAGACCAGCCTGGGCTACAAAGTGAGCTCAAGGCCAGCCTGAACTGCATAGTGCAACCCTGTCTCCAAAAGACAAAACAACAACAACAACAAAATAACTATGCTAGTCAGGTGTAATTGTACACATCTATAGTCCCAGTTACTCAGGAGGCTGAGGCAGGAGGAACAAAAGTTCCAGGCTAGCCTGGGCAAGTTAGAGGGATACTGTCTCAAAATAAAAAGGCTGGGATGTAGTTTAGTGGTAGAACACTTGCCTAGCATGTGTGAGGGTTCAACTTCTAGTACCTCAAAAAACAAACCAAACAACTGTGTGCTTAGTCCCACAAACCTCTGTCATGTGATGCCTCTGAGGGCAGGTCACGGTGCTCTGTTTCAGTCTGGTTGTCTTGAAATGTGAGGAAGCACCACCTTGCCAAGTCATTCATAGCTCCTGCCTTGTGGGGCAGTGTTTACACTGGCCTTGGAGGAGAAAGACCTATGTGAGATGGACAGCCAAGGCCCACCAGCCTCAACAATCAAATCCAAAGCTGGGTCACCCCAACCTGTGGCCAGCAGATGTATTCATCAGGACTGCCTGTCACATGTGGGGTGGCCTCAGGATTGCCAGCCTTCATGCAGTAGCCGCAGCAGCTGCTCTGAGTCAACCTCTTTCCTCCCTTCCAGGGTCACTGGGATGGTGCTCAAGGCCTTCTTCCCTACATGCTGCACCTCGGCAGACAGCGGCCTGTTGGTGGGACGCTGGGTCCCAGAGCAGAGCAGTGCTGTGGTCTTGGCTGTGGTGCACTTTCCCTTCATCCCCATCCAGGTCAAGGAGCTCCTGGCCCAGGTGCAGCAGGCCAGCCGGGTGAGTTTGGCTGTGCTGGGGACCTGGTGCCACCGCCAGCAGGAGTCTGAGGAGAGCCTAGGCCACTTCCTGGAGGGTCTAGGTGCTATCTTCTCCCATGAGCCCTGGCTGCAGCTGTGCCGGGAGAGGGGCAGCAAGTTCTGGAGCTGCAAGGCTACCCACCAGCAAAGGCCTGGCACCCCTGGTGTTTCCAGCGAGGACCACGTCATGCTTATCTTCTATGACCAGCGTAAGGTGCTCCTGTCCCACCTGCATTCACCCACAGTCCTGCCTGACTGCCAGGCTGGAGACGCCACAGCCAGTGCAGAGGGCCTGGCTGCCATCTTTGACACAGTTTCTCGCAGCGAGGTGCTGTTCTGCAAAAACCAGTTCGATGAGGGCCCGGTGAGGCTGAGCCACTGGCAATCGGAAGGTGTGGAGGCCAGCATCCTTGTGGAGCTGGCGAAGCAGGCTTCAGGGCCTGTCTGCCTGCTGGTGGCCTGCCTGCTGTCACTGGTCTCAGCTTCAGGTTCATGCCGGTAGGTGCTGCTGGGGCCATAGAGGGAGGGGCAGGCAGTGGGCCCCTGAGAGTCACAGGCTTGCCCCTCCGTGTGCAGGGACATGGAAGCCCATAAAGGTCCTTCCTGAGGCTTACAACTACCCCCAGGGCCCTGGCACTGGTCCTGCCCTTCCTCCCCTGGTGTCTCAGAGGATGTCCCAGTAGTAGTTGCAGTTTTCACATCCCCTACTCCTGGGATAGAGCCAGTGTTTCCAGTAGCCTCAGTGACTATGTGCAGCCCACCAGATAGGAGGATGGGGTGAACTGTGGATGACTCAGGTCCCTTAAATCTGGGAGTTGTTTGCCTAGTGAGGCCACACAGGCCTGCCTGCTTCCCTATGCCCTCAGCTCTCCACAGAGCAGGCCTCTAGGCAGCACAGCTCTCCCTAGTGGCAGAGCTCCCTTGAGTCTGTAGGGTGACATTCCCGCACTGTTGGCCTGGGGTTGGGGTTCCCAACTTCACATTCCTCAGAACCACCAGCAAGGCTCCTGGCCCACCGGCTTGGCCCATGATTTTATAAAAGCTCTTGAGGGCCCTGGGTTTGCTGGCTTCTGAGCAGAGGACCTGGGAGCCCCTTCCTCCCTCCTTCCCTGAAAAGATTCTCACCCCATGGGAGCAGCTGTGGTTGCCCCTTCCCGTTTGATCCAGGAACTCACCACAGGTATGAAGATTGGCCTTTCCACACTTACCAGGGCTCTGCCCACTCTGTGGGGACACACCTTGGGTATAGGAGCCACTGCGGGTCTTGATGTGAGAAATGCACCTTGGGGCTTCATGATAGCATGTGTCTGGGCTGAGGTTCAATTTTGGTGGAGAAGGTCCTTAGCTTTTATTGTCTTCCCAAAGGACCCAAGAAGGGTTCAGAACTGCAGGTGAACACATATTGATTAGCCCATCAGGCAAGCGTTAGCTGTTGACTGGTGATTATAGGCAGTGACACGCAGGTGAGCCATGGCTGTCACTGTGGGAGTGAAACCCCTCTACCCTTCATGGCTTTGTGCCTCTTCCAGGCAGCTCCTGGGGTGTTGTCAGGGCCCTGAGCCATGCAAGGCTTGTCTGTGGCCTCGAAGAGATCATCACACTAATGAGGTTTCTGTGCAGCCAGCAGGAGGTCACCTGTTTGCCTGTTAGGAAGGGGAGGCTCAGAGGAACTTGGTCCATTCTTTTGTCTCAGAGCTACTCCCTTGAAGGTGAGGCCTTTGGCTTCCTCCCTCCTCAGGTTCCAGGCATGTGATTTACTGCAGCTCTCTACTTTTTAGATGTGCTTTGGGCTCCTCCTCCCTGCATTAGGGGCTTTGAGTGGGGGTATGGGCTCCTGGCTGATCCTCTTTACAGGAAAGCCAACATAGATGTGCTCCTGGATGTGGCCCTTGGCCTGATGCTGCTGTCCTGGCTGCGTATGAATGCACGCAGTTAAGCTGCCATCAGGCACTTTCCCCCTGCTTACGGACTTCTCCCCTAGGATATGAGAGCCTGTGGAAGTTTCTCCATGCTTCCTTTTCCTTGTGAGAAACTTAGTCTCACTGGGAAGCTGGATTAGTTCTGGAAACCCCTGGCAAGCCTCCTGGGCCCCATCTGGCGGCAAAGCAAGGTCCTGAGTAGTCAGGAAGCCACCTGATTTCCACTTTAGTGACTGTACTGATTTCAGATGTGGGCTGACTGGGGACTAAGATGTGTTGAGGTCAGAGCTTTGTGAGGAGGTCAGGTTCAGTGATAAGGTGAACTCACAATGTGGCTGAGCCCTGGAAGCGCCACCAGCCCCACCTGCCTCCTTGCCCTGCTGAGTTCTGCATAGGCCACTGGGCTCTGGCCTTTTGTCTCTGCACCTGTGCGTGCATGCATCATCAGAAAGGAGAGTCCTGATGTATCTCTCAATGGATGCTCATGCCCCTCTGCAGGCTGTGGAAGCTGTGGCCTCTGCCCTTCATTGCCAGCAAGCTCTCCACCTGTGAGCAGCTCCGTCACCGGCTCGAGCACCTCACGCTTGTCTTCAGTACCCAGAAGGCTCAGAGCCCTGCTCAGTTGATGAGGTATGGCCAGGGGCTCCTTTATAGGGTGGAACACCATTGTCCCAGTGCCTTCCCTACCCCTGCTCTGTACCAGCCTCCTCATGTACCCTTAGGCTGCCACTGCGCGCCTCACACTCCCACTGACCCTCCTCCTAGGAAGGCCAACATGTTGGTCTCCATGCTCCTGGATGTGGCTCTTGGCCTCACTCTGCTGTCCTGGCTCCACAGCAGTAACCGAATTGGGCAACTGGCCAATGCCCTCATCCCCATGGCTGATGTGAGTACATTAGGTTTTCCTGAGGGGGGACCCCTCCTGTGGCTAGCTGAGTCCCTTAAGTCAGCTGGAGTAGTTCTTCCCTCTCCTCACCCTACAGACATAGCCCTCATCCTTGACACTGAGTAGAGGACTCTTGGGACTGGTGTCTCTAAGGCAGCACTTGCCAAGTGCCAGCTTTGCTCCTGAAGATGAATATGTCTAGGGCCACTTGTTTTTGTTTGTTTGTTTCCTTTTCTGAGACAGAATCTCATATGTAGGCTGGCCTTGAACTCACTGTGTAGTCTAGGCTGACCTTGAACTTGTGGCAATCCTCCTGCCTCAGCCTCCCAAGTGCTAGAATTATAGGCGTGCACCACCATACCCAGTCTATCTGGGGCCACTTATGGTTAAAGCTTTTAGGAGGGGCCAGGTCCAGGATGTGGCTGTCCACTGCCTCCACACTCTTGTGATCAGTTCTCTATCCTGGACTCTGCTCTCAGGATTAGTAGCATCCTGAGAACCTCTCTGCCCAGGGCTGTCTGCCAGGCATGTCATACTACCTGGCATTGGTTGCATAATTCCCATGCTAGCAGCTAGAGGTGCAGGTATGTATTCTGTGCTCCCGACTTTACCAGCATGTCCTAGTGAGGGGCAGGGCGTGCCCTCCTGTTCTGTCCTTGTCTACCTCCTAAGTTTATATGCTGCTGGACCCAAAGCATTGTCTCTCCTATTAGGAGCATGTCTCCTTACTTAGGGCGGTCCCTCTGGCCCTTTGCCCACCTTTTGGCCTCTTGAGGCCTCTTGAGGCCTCTTTGTGGGTGCAGCCTCTGCCCTGTCTGTCTGCACAGGCCACTGGGCTCTGGCCTTTTGTCTCTGCACCTGCGCGTGCATGCGTCATCAGAAAGGAGAACCCTGTAGGTGTGCACTGGGCCTGCTTGTAGCCAGGTCAGGACTCTAGGGGCCTGGAGCTGGTGCCTCTCAGCTCCCTTTTAGCTATAGGGACTCAAGACCAATCCAGGGCTGGGTGTGGTGGCACATGCCTGTAATCCCAGCACTCGGGAGGCTGAGGCAGGAGGATTGTTGCAAGTTCCAGACCAGCCTGGTCTACAAAGTAAGCTCAAGGCCAGCCTGAACTGCATAGCGAGACCCTGTCTCAAAAAGAAAAAAAAAAGACTAATCCAGGAAGGAGGGGTTGAGGTAGGGAGAGGAATGGGTGTTTCCATACTCTGCTTTTTAACCAACTTTGTGCTAGACATCCCTTCTGCCAAGTTGCTCAAAAATATAAATATTTAATTAAAAAATGAAAGTCTCTTCCTGCTGCCAAGCTCTTATCCTTTAAATAATAAATAAGCTCTATTTATAAAGAACATTCTTCCCTTCTTGCTAGTCCTGACATGGCCAAGGCCTTAGCACAAGATCAAGAGAGGTCTTTAGGATGGGCAGGTTGGGGCACAGAGATAGTGCCTACAGCCTTGCCTCAGAAAGGAAAGTGAGGGTTCCTGTGGCCATCACAGCACCTGAACACTGCTGTCCTCCTGGATGGCACAACCTGGCTTCTCTGCCTGTTCTCGTGGTTCCTGTGCTGTCTTTTGCCCTCACTTGATCATACCCCTTCCTCTGGGGCCCCATGTCCTCCATCACTGCCACCTGCTGCTGTGGGCCCTGATGGGTCTGATGCCCTCTCACACACAAGGTCATACACCCCGGGTAGTCCAAGTGGTGATAGGTGGTGGGTGGGGGTCTTTGGCCCACAGTTTCTTGTAGGGCTTGAGGTAAGCCAGGGTCTGTCCAGCCTGTCCATGTTTGGGGCTGAGGCCCCTGGGAGTCCAGAGGTAAAGGGGTAAGGTGAGAGGGACCTGCCCAAGGGGCCAGGGGCAACTGTCAGATGCCTAAGTTTTGTGCTTGGGCCTGAAGAGTGGCTCCTTGGCTGGGCAAATGTGGGAAACTGTGCGTCCATATTAGGAGATGGGGGTCTGGATCTGGGAAGGAAGGAAGTGTGGACTCCTTTTCCCTGCTCAGGCAGGCTAGCCAAGGTGGAAGCCCATCATGAAAATCTCAGGAGGTGTTGATGTTGATTCTGACTGCCCACCCATCCAACAACAATAATACCACTGCTGCTTCCCCCGCCACGTCCCTGCAGCATGTGGCCGAGGAGCTCCAGCATCTGCTGCAGTGGCTAATGGGTGCTCCTGCTGGGCTCAAGATGAACCGGGCACTGGACCAGGTGCTGGGCCGCTTCTTCCTGTACCACATTCACTTATGGATCAGTGAGTACCTCTTACGATAGGGTCAGAGGGTTGGCAGGGCTTCACACCCCAGGGACCCAGGCCCCAGCTGAGGAGGGTGGTGAGGCCCCACCAGGCCCTTCATCCCCACTTCCTAGCCTCTCGTGTGTGAACCCCATTGTTCTTGGCTAGCTGCCCTGCCAAACATCAGGACCAGTGGTGTGGTCTGTGTGCTTGTGGTTTCTTAAGCATCAAGCATCCATGTTTAGCAAGGAACTGGGGGACCCAGGACCCCTAGGTGCACCCCTCAGGGCTGACCCCCATCCCACCAGGCTACATCCACCTCATGTCCCCCTTCATCGAGCGCATCCTGTGGCACGTGGGCCTCTCAGCCTGCCTAGGACTGACGGTTGCCCTGTCCATCCTGTCGGACATTCTTGCCCTCCTCACCTTCCACATCTACTGCTTCTATGTCTACGGTGCCCGGTGAGCATATGTGTCCTGGGTGCAGCCTTTGGGCCCAGGGCATTAAGGGCTCTGGTGGGGTGTGGGTGAGTTTTCCAAATTTGCCCAACCAGAGAACCCCTCTTCAGGCCCAAGCACAGCCCTTACAGTGCCCATGTCTGCAGGCTGTACTGCCTGAAGATCTGTGGCCTGTCCTCTCTGTGGCGTCTCTTCCGGGGGAAGAAGTGGAACGTGCTGCGTCAGCGGGTGGATTCTTGCTCTTACGACCTGGACCAGGTGCTGTAGCTGGCCCATTGCAGTAGGCTTGGGGGAAGGTACACACAGACTTTCTCCTAGCCGGAGAGGACTGTGCTTCCAAGGCACAGAGCCTAGAGTCCCATATCTAAACTTCTGCTCTAGCTTGTTGCATTGGTTTGCTCAGACCTGACATGAGACAGCTTTCCCCTGATACTGTCTGTGGCCATGTACCCCTCTAGCTGGTCTCCCCACAAGCCTAGCAGGTATACATACATAGCCCATGGTAGCACCCTTCACAGTACTAGGAAACATGCCTAAGCAGGCTGTCCTGAGTTCACTTGGATGTCAAGAGGTCCTGACTAAAGTTACAGGACATCACTTGGGTTGGGGTGGGCATTGGGGTATCACAATTGCTAGAGGGGTCACTCCTGGCTGGAGCCTTGAGTCACCAGGTATGCCATACGCTTCTCCCCACAGCTCTTCATCGGAACCTTGCTCTTCACCATCCTGGTCTTTCTCCTGCCCACCACAGCTCTGTACTACCTAGTATTTACCCTGGTGAGCCACACACTCATGTCACAGGGCCTCTAGTACTTGAAGTAGTCACTGCAAGCCTTACCTGGAGCCCTGTAGGCTATGGGCCAGGCCATCCACCCCTACAGGCCATGTTACCACGTCTGTTTTGGACTTTGCACAGTATATGTTGGGCCTTAGATTGGGAGGGTGGGGTCCAACCCTGGGTATGTCCTGCGCTGGGGCACTTGGCCAGGTGCAAGGACCTGCAGAGCCCATGGTGGGCATTGGGGACAGCAGGGTCATGGAGGTCCTGGGTGCTGCAGGGTGGACAGTGGGAAGCAAGCAGTGTCAGTGTGTGGGGCTTTGGGATTCATGGTCTTTGACCTGGTGGGAGGGCTGGCTGCTCAGCTCCAAGGCAGGGGTGCTTTCTCCCTCCTGTCTCCTTGATACCTAAACCAAGGGTAGGCTGTCTGCTCTTCTCAGTATGGGATCCATGTTTTCCTCAGGGCCATTGACCCCTGGTCACCCTTGGTCGTGGACCAGGATCCCACTGAGCTACTCTGTTTGAGAGCATGTCCAGCAAGGCCCTGGTCACAGCCCTGACTCAGAGGTCCTGATTATTGCCTGTGCTGCAGCTCCGGCTCCTGGTGGTCACTGTGCAGGGCTTGATCCATCTGCTTGTGGACCTCATCAACTCCCTGCCTCTGTACTCACTTGGCCTTCGGCTCTGTCGGCCCTACAGACTGGCGGGTAAGTGCTGTGTGCTTGGCGGCTATCCCCCTGCAGGTGGGAACATATATCCACTGGATCCTGCAAAAGTGCCTGCTATGCTGGTCACCTGCCTGGAGACAGTAGGGCTATGGTACAGGTGGTTGGGAAAGGCAGAGCTTCCTGCTCCAGGCATCTGCTGGGCCAGGAACCCTCATAAAGTGGAGTGGAAGGACCTCTTGAGGCTGTGGGTCAAGGCATCTCTTGCTGTATCCTTTCTGTAATACCCCTGATTTGTGGTATATCTGTCCTCTGTAGCTTATATGTTATCTGACTATGGCTCCCAGAAGGTCCGTCTTTACGTGGTTATGTGAGCCATGGGCCTGCTGGCACCCTTAGCCTTGAAAGGGCAGGCTAGTGTGAGGACCACCAGGCTGGGCAGACCCATATGACAGGAATATCCTGCACTGTTTATGGTTGGCAGTCCTCACCCCAGCTGTCTCTCTGCCATCCCTGCTGCAGGTGGCTGCCCCCATGGGTGCTCTGATACCAGTTTGAAACTGACTCCTGAGGGGAGGCTGGCCCTGCTGGTCAGATGCTTCAGGCAGCCTGGGCAACCTAATGAAACCTTGTCTCAAAATAAAAATTTTATTTTTGGGGGCTGGGGATTTAGCTTAGCGGCAAAGCGCCTGCCTGGCAAGCGCAAGGTCGTGAGTTCGGTTCCTGGTACTGGAGAAAAACCAAAAAAAATTTTTTTTTAAATTTTTTTTAATTTTAATTTTAATTTATTTATTTATTTTTTTTGTGTGTTTTTTTTCCGGTACCAGGATCGAACTCACGACCTTGCACTTGCCAGGCAGGCACTGTGCCGCTGAGCTAAATCCCCAGCCCCAAAAAATTTTAAAAAGGCTGAGGAAGATGCTTAGTATGAAGCTCCTGGTTTTGGATCAGCTCATCTGGCTCAGGGGTTTGGACATAACAGGGAACCTGAGGATTTCCTGGCACAGCACTGTCCAGTACCCACTCCAAGGTGACTGTGCCCAGGTGCCCCTCTCAGCCAGCTCTAGCCATAGGGTATGAACTATTTTTCAGCTTTCAACTAAGGTTTCTTCTTTCTGGACACCCTAACCCCTTTCTTTTCCTTCCTTCTTTCTTCTTTCCCTTCCTGCTTATAGTGGTGGCTGACTGGGGCTTTTGCATTGAGCTATTTCTGCAGAGCTGTAGAGGCCATGGTCTTGCCCAGGTAGCCAGCTCAAAAGAGGCAGGTGGAAAGGACAAGGGGCAGTGATTGCTGTGTGCCCAGGCAGGCCTGCTACCCCCTGGGTGCTGCACAGAGGATGGAGCCTTTGCTGCCAAGGTCATTGCCCACACCACCTTCTGCTAACTGGCAGCACAGTAGGGGCAGTCTGCAGGGCTCTGTGGGCACAAAGGCTGCCACCCTCCCCTTCATTATCTTGTTCTCCTTGCAGCTGGCGTGAAGTTCCATGTCCTGGAGCATGAGGCAGGCAGGCCTCTTCGCCTCCTGATGCAGGTGAGACCTCTCGTGCCCCTCACTGATACCTGGGGTAGAGCCCCTCCCACCGCTTTGCCTGTGTTTGGGGAGAGCTGGGGTCAGTTGGTGTGGGGTCCAGGTACACATCAGCCTGGGGCCAAGTGCAGGCAGGGGGCCTAGTGGAGCTGAGGAGTTGACTCCCACAGAGGAAGCCCCCAGGCTTCTGGCCACTATGACCCATTTTGCCTGGGGCCCCATGCAGGGCCTGAGTGCTCACAGTGGTTTGCATGGCTGAGGCCTAGCCCCGTCCATGGACAGCATCCCTTTGCCACAAATCAGACACCTACTGATTTGGCTGCCTACTTGGCCCCAATTCTCTATTCCTGCCCTAGGCTCCAAAGGGCTTAAGTTCCTGGTGAAACAGAATCAACTTAGCAAAGGCCTCAAGACCTCCAGGCATTTCCCACTGGCCATTTTCCACTGTTCTGCTCCATCTTAAACAATCCTGAGTGCTTGGTCCCTGTGGGAGGGAGCAGGACAAGATATTGGGTACTTTGCCAGGTTGCAGGTTGCCTCTTGGGCCAAGTCTATCCTGCCTTAGATGTTAAGGCAGCCATAGACTCTGTGATGTTTCCCTGGCCAGGAAGCTCCTGGGAGCTGAATAAATCCTGGGCAGGAGCATCTTCATCCCTAGGGCACCTGGAGCTCCCACTCCACCTCATCTGCCTGGGGAACATGTACCTGTCCCCAGGGTTTGGCTAGCTGTGTCACGGGCAAGGGTGTGTCTGGGCTAGCTGAACCTGCCCCACAGTTGCCCAGCCCTGGGAACCCCCAAAGGGCCAGCCAGGCTCATAGTGTCTGTAGGCCAGTGTTTTCTCTGCAGACATTCTGCAGCACCCTGATTACCATGCTGATTGCGATTCTGTCTTTCCAGATAAACCCCCTGCCCTACAGCAGTGTGGTGCACACCTACCGACTACCAAGCAGTGGCTGCCACCCCAAGCACTCTTGGGGCTCCCTGTGCCGCAAGCTGTTTTTTGGAGAGCTCATCTACCCCTGGAAGCAGAGAGGGGACAAGCAAGACTGAGGTGCCTGGCTGTAGCCTTCCCAATACCACTGCACTGTATGGCCTACCGTCATACCTCTCAGCCAGGGTAGCATTGACCTTGGGGCTGGGCTTCATGTGCTCCTGAGTGTGGGCAGTCTTTGTTCCAAGTTTCCATCCTGATTCTCGGGCCTCACCAGGCCATGCCAAGCAACCTACTGCCAGTTCACCTCCATCCTTCTCTAGCACTGTTGGCCTTGGGACCTGCCTCTGGTCTGCTGTGATCACCACACTCTGCCCTGTCCCCAGCAGCAGCCAGGTCTGCCTCTGGAGTGTGCGGGCAGGTCCCTTTGACTGTCCCCTAGTGATGGGTGGAGGGATGCCGCCTGGGTTACTGGCATCTTCTACTGCTTGCAGCAGAATGCCCCCTGCCTGTGTGTGGGGGGTTGGAGCAGCTGTTGACCCCGAATCCCAGTGAGCAAGAGCCCTCATACCCTGAATTGAACAGGGCTTGTCTACTGGAGCTCCTTGGAGAGTAGCTCAAGGACCCACAGTGCTCCCACAGGATGGGTGTCCCTGAGGAGGTGGTCATGGCCTTGTCAGTCAGTAGGCACTGACTGAGGCCCCAGGGAGGGAGGACAAAGGTCCACAATGGTCCAGAAAAGTCTGTGCTGTGGCTTGGAGGGGACAGCAGGTGCTGCCCATCTTTGAGGCACTTGGGACTGTCCACCTCAGCCTCCCCACTGCCCGCTCTACTTTGCCTCAGGCCACATCAACTCTAAGCACCCCATGAAGGATGTCAGCGGGGATGGGTCCTGACCTGCCTTTTTTTTTTTTTGTTACAATAAAACCTCACGTGTTTGGAGTGCCAGTTTGGCCTTTGTCATCGCATGTATGTAGGAGGGCTAAGGTTTGCTCTAAGGTGATTGCTAGGGCCTGCCTCCTGTTTGAGCACCCTGCACAGTGCTGGTAAGTGAGAAGTATGTCCCTTAAAATCCTAGTCCAGGTAGATGGCTCCTCACAGCCTCACCTGGCATACAGAACTGTCATCTGGGGCAGGAGTGTGCTTAGCAAGGCAGGGGTTAAGCCAACCCTGGCTATATGTATTTGGGCTCCATAAGGACGAGGAACTCCCTGAACTGAGCTGACCTATCCGTCCTGCAGTCTCCGGGGGGACTTCCCACTTGTGGTCTTGCTTATGGAGTGTGGGTGGGACCCAGAGAGGCTCATTAGCAGCTCCCTAGCCTGGGTCTCCGCCCAGTGGAATATGGCTGCAGAGTGCTGAAGAGCCTTTTATGAACTGTGTCCACTCAGAGCCTGCTGACAATGGCCTGACAGTTGCATTGCTGGGGGCCACCTTCCAGTTGGGCACCATGTCTAGCTCCTAGCTCCTAGTGCAGAGGCCTCTGACCTAGGCTTCCCAGCAATCAAAAGCCGGTGCTAAGTCACATGTGGGCTGTTACATATCTTGCCTGCACCCCTCCCTGCTGCTCTGCCACCCCTACTCATCCTCCATCTGCCTGTTCATGCCCCTTCATCCCTCCTCCTGGGGTTCCCACCAGGCAAATATCCTGTCCCTCAGCCCAGCACACTGCTCTGTGTGGCCCTGTCATGGGGCTTACTTGCCAGCTGTCATCTCCTGTGCAGGGTGCTAGGCTGCCTACCCATCCTCCAAGGGCCAACCCAGGCCTGACACCAGTGCCAGCTGATAGTATATTAGTCCCAGCTGTTTGCAGCCACTGAGATGCCACCTGCCGAGGAATGTCCTTTATATGTATTTGTCTGATGGTTTTCATGATACCCCTGTTCATGTGTTTGTTGCAGGACTGTGCGTAAGTGCTGTCCTTGGCATCATCTAGGGAGCCATGCAAGGTTTGTCTATTCTAGGTTATCAACTTGACCTCTTGGCCAGGGCAGCTGTCTGCCAGGCTTCCCCTTGCAGAGTACCTTCCCTGGGTGTTTTGTTTTTTTTGGTTTCTTGAGATGTAGTTCAGGCTGGCTTTGAATTCAATTTGTGCTGGGCGTGGTGGCACATGCCTGTAATCCCAGCACTCGGGAGGCTGAGGCAGCAAGATCGTTGCAAGTTCGAGGCCAGCCTGAACTGCATAGTGAGATCCTGTCTCAAGAAGAACAACAACAACCACAAAAATAAATAAATAAATAAAAAATAAAAAAAAATTCAGTTTGTATCCTGGGCTGGCCTCAAACTGGCAGCAATCCTCTTTGCTCACCTCCCAAGTGCTTCTGTCTCTGATTTATTCTACTTAGCATTATGGTCTCAAGGTACACCCATTTTTCTACAAATGACTTCAGTTTATCCTGAGTAGGATTAAGTTTCTCTAACATGTGAAATCTTAGGGAACACATTCAAACCACAGCAGGTATCCTGGAGGGAAGGGACAAACTCCCAGACCTTTCTTTTTCTCCCAACCCCTTACCTTAGTAAAGGCTATCAGAATCTTGGCCCTAGTCCTTGCTCAGAGCCAGTGGACATGAGTCTGCAGGGGAGACTCTGGGTCCACCAGTCGTTGCTCAGGCCTATACAACCCTGCAAGGAGGCACCCAAGATGTAGCTGACCTGCAACTTCCAAGTGGAAGTCTGTGTCTTTGCCTGATTTGTCCTTAGCCTGAGGCCCCTCAGTGAGAGGGAAGGGTGTCCTTTCCCTTTCTTGGCCAGGAGCACTCAGTAGAACCAGTATATACTTGCAACTGTGTGGGAGGCCAGCTCCTCCACCCAGCAGGCCTCCTTCCCCTTTTGGATTCCTGCAGTAAGGTTTTCACACGTGATTACCTCAACTAGCAATTTTCACGAAAGATTGCCAGAGCCACGACTTTGCACAAAATCCACCAGAACCTCACACCAGAAGTGCTTCTGCAAGGGCAGCTGCCTGGCAATTTTTCAGTATCTAATTTCAGATTTGTTATTAATCCTGTGGCCAAGGATTATTGTTTCAAGATGGTTTATGTAATCCTCTCAGTGGTGTTTTAAAAGCTTCCTCTTGCCTCAACATTTTTTTTTTTTTTTTTTTTTTTGGTAATACTGGGTATTGAACCTAGAGCGTTTGCCCTGAGCTACATCCCCAGCCCATTTTTTAAATTATTATTTTGAGGCAGGGTCTTGCAGAATTGCCCAGGCTAGGCTTGAGTTTTTGATCCTCCTGCCTCAGCCTCCTGGAGTCTTGGGATTACAAACATGCCAGCACACCTAGTTTCAACCTTTTAAAATACAGTCATAGTTTACTATGGTTATATATTCTCCTTTCCTTTCTTCCTTCCTATACACATGGTGTATGTTGTGTGCTCTCTCCCTCTCTGTAAATGTGGCTGTGTCTGCTGTGATCCAGTGTCTAAGGAATGGCCACTCCTGGAAGAAGACGTGGCCTGAGCAGAGGCACAGGCAAGAACTTCTGAGCTCCTTCAGAGATTAGGAGTGAGCTCCAGACCTGCCTGGAGGTCTCAGCGTGAGTTTGACCACTTACATCCAGGAGGCCTGGATTACAGGATACCAGGAAAGCCTCTCCCTGAAGCCAGATGAGGAGGGCTCAGCTGCTGACTCACCAGGAGCAGCCACTCACTGGAGGAGCACCTGTGAGGAACTCCCCAAGCACTGCGTCCAACCAAACTGCATCATGTGTGTGGCTGGATCCTCAGCAAAGGCCATGTTTGCAACCTTGAGGGGCGGGGAGCATCACTTAGTTTGGGCTGCCCACTCAGTAGCCTTTTGTGTGTGAACATTGCTGCTGGAGTAAGTCTGAGTTCAGTAGGAGGCTGGGGTGGGGGGGTTGGTTCTTGTCAACCACTGTTCCTTGTCTGCAGATGCAGGTGTGGCAGCAGGTGCATCCTTAGCAGCCACAGACACATGGTCACTGAATGACATTTTTGCAGAAAAACCAGTATCAAACCAAATGGAAGACTCTTTGCACCGAGGATTCAGAAGGCAACTTCTATTACGCTAGTGGGCTGAGGAACCCAGAGGCTCAAATCACCAGCCCAGAGTCAGGTTTGAGTTCCGTTTAAATAGGGTTTGCCAGTGGGAAGTACAAAGCTCATAGCAGGTTATTACATGACTGGTTACATGGAGTACAAGAATTGTCATACATTGTCAGGCTGGTTTACGTAAACATTGTTTAATGCTCTGGAAAGGAGGGGAGGGATGTGAGCAGAGCAAGCAGAGTTAAATGGGTCCTTGACTGGGCCATCTGTCCTAGACATGAAGTCCTTGAAGCAAGTTGGAAACAATATATTTTTCTAACTAAGGAAAACAAGCTGGACACAGTCAAGTTGGCTCAGTGTATTATCAAAGAGCAGTAGATAGTTAAGGCGGACTGTCTACCAGACAGGCAGCATGAGCATAGTCACAGGCTAGGAACTGATTTCTAACTTTTGCTGTAATATGCTATTCTATAAGTGTGCCTTTACAACATAATTCCTTCCACACACATCTGTTTTTCCAGGAGCCATAACTTGCCTGTGGTCACATGCAGCAGCAACACCTGGTCCCCTCCCCAAAGGGCTACACTTGGCTCAATTTTTTTTTTAACGTTACAGGTGATTGAACCTAGGACCTCCCACATACTAAGCAAGTGCTCTGCCACTAAGCTATATCCCCCAGTCCTTTTTTGGTCTTCCTGGAACTGCCTGACAAGCCTGGAACTTTCCATCCTTCTACCTCAATCTCCCATGTAGCTGGTACAGCCACCAGCCACACTTGGTTGTGTTAGTTTCAACAGCTTAGACCGGGCGTGGTGGTGCAAGGCCGGGTGTGGTGGCACACGCCTGTAATCCCAGCACTCGGGAGGCTGAGGCAGGAGGATCGTTGCGGAGTTCGAGACCAGCCTGGGCTACAAAGTGAGCTCAAGGCCAGCCCGAACTGCATAGCGAGACCCTGTCTCAAAAAGGACAAAAAAAAAAAAAAAGTTCATAGTCATTCTCATGTTCATGTCATATATTGTCAGGCAGGTTTATGTAAACATTGTTTAACATTGTTTTACCAGGAGTGAAACCCAAACTTCCCTTGTAAACAATCAATATCCAGACCAACAGGTCACAGGGAATATTCTCCTTTCTTCACAAACTAGAAGCATAATCAATTCCTGCCCCGCTGCTTTCAAAGCCCAACCCTCTCCCCCGCCCCAGAGTGGGGACTGAATCTAGGCAGGGACATTCACAATGAGTACATCTCCAGCCCCTTTATTTTTTATTTTGAGTCGGGGTCTCGCTAAATCAATGAGTTGCCCGGGCTGAGCTCGAATTTGCGATCCTCCTGCTTTAACCTTCCAGAGTGGTGGCATTAAAGGCGTGCGCTCAAGGCCCTGCCTTTTGAATTGGAAACGTTTCACTCTTTCCTACCTCTGTATGTCCTTGGTTGTATGTTCTGGTGGTTTCTTACAGATCTTGACCTACACGTTTCTGGACGGGTATGAATTCCCTCATGAAGCGTCATTCTGTGCTTAACTTTTGAGTAACTGAGTAGAGTGCTTATGTTCTAAAATAGTTATGAATGACTCCCGTTGGGAGTCGACCTGGCCGGCGACGCATCTGTGGCGAAATGCAGGCTTCCCGGGCCCGCACCCCAAATCGCCGGTCCGCCTGCGACAAGCACTACTTCGTCGAGACTCGCTACCCTCAAAGCAGTCAACTCAGCCCAGGTCGGCTCGGAAGCGGAGTTCAGCTGTCACCTGCTGGCCTGCGCACGCCACACAGAAGTCCCGCCCATTTGGTGCCGCCAGGCAGAAGTCCGGCCCCTGTCCCGCAAAAGACACGCCCAAATAGATGTATCGAGGTCCTCATGCTATCCTCTCTGGGTCTCTGCGAGAGCCGCCAGCGCCGTCTGCTAGGAGGCCTCCAGGCGTCCGTGCCATCCTGCAACCCGTACTTGGAGGAAAGGGAGCGTGTGCAAATAACGTAGCGTTCCAACTCCTGATTGGGGAGAGCTAGGGAACCGGGGGGGTTAGTGGGCCGTGACAGTGTGAGCACGGCCCAATGGCTTGGCAGCAATGGCCAAGGGTGCCGGTAAAGGGGCGGGCGAAGACGAGAGAAATTGTGGGCCAGTGGGCGGGGCTGCCGGTGGTTTGCGGGCGCTCTGCAGGGAGCGGCAGGGGCGATAGTAGATCTGACGGATGTGTAGGAGAACCAATAGTTTCGGAAAAGCGGGAGCCCCATAGCCAATGGCGGGGTAGATAAGGCACGGCACGGAAGCCTCCGCAACGCTGTGTGGGAAACGGGGGAGGCGGGGCGATCATGACGGATGGGGGAACAGGCCAACAGATGAGGACAAATCGGGGGCTTGTGGCCAATGGAGACCACGAGAGGGCAGATGGGGCGGTGATAGGGCGTGGCAACCGCAGTTTGCGCGGCGCTGTGTGGGAAAGCGTGGGGGGTGGGGCGGCTATGACGGACGGCCTGCCAAGCCAATGGTGGAGGGAGGGCGGGCGGCGGGCGGCCAATGGTGGCGGCGCGGCCGGGGGCGGGGTGGCAGCGCTGTGCGGTGCTGTGCGGGAAGCGGCGGGCGGTGGCAGCGATAC